CCCCAAAACCCCAAAACCCCAAAACCCCAAAACCCCATTTTTATTTATAATTAGTAATCATTGTTAAAAATTATTTAAGATGAGCGATTACGACGACGATTTTGGTAAGGGGACATATAATATTTAGATAATTTTGTGGAGTCTAAGGATGACCAACTCCCTGACACTAAAAGAAATAATGAAGAAGGAAAGCATACCTTTGGAAATGGTGCAAATAGCAGAAATAAAGCAGCCTCAAGACTTTCGAAAGAAAGCATTAAGAAATCACAAGGTGATATTTCTCTCCCTGAAGTAAGAGGATCAACCAAAGAATTAGGCAAAGTTGATTCAGATGATGAAGAAAAGGTTCCTAAGCCATCAGGCAAAACTCTTCCTGCTTCTCATCAAACTTCCTCCAAAGTTAAGAGTAAGACAAAAGTTAAAGACTCTGTTGCTAACAAATTTAATCCTATTTTAAAATAAGCCAGCTAAAAATGAAGGTAACGCTTAACACAAACTATTCTAACTCCTTTAGATGAAGATGACTACAAGGATGATGATAGCTTCCATGATGATAGTGATGAACAAGATAAGCAAGGGAACCCTCAGCCTAGTAAGAAAAAGAAGGACCTCAGGTTCCTTGTTGATAAATTCGCCCCAAAGAATACAATCACAAAAGGCAGTAGACAATCTAGCCCAAAGTTAAAACCCAAATTAAGTTTGGGGAAGTATAAGTTCAACTCAGATGTGGAAAGAGGGTCTAAATCTAAACGGCCAAGGCTTAACATGAACAGGTCGATGATGAGTACTACAGATATGAAGAATATCAGCTCCTTAAAGACTGAACAAAAACCTCGTATAAAACTTAACCCGATGGCAGAAATCCAAAAAGACATCGAAAAGTCCAAAAAGCAGTTATCCAAGATTCTAAAATTACGTGAGATTGGTTCAACTCAGACTGATGAGGAGGACAAGCTCCTGTATCTCACTAAGGAGAACATTATCCTAAGGACTGAATTTAAAGAGCTTAATAAAAACCTGAACAAGTTCATTGAGTTGATGAAAGATCTTAAATACAAGCGGGCTAATCGTTACAGAGGTGCCAATCAGTCCATGAGAGACACCAGAGAGAGCAAAATAGAGTTCAAGCTAGGAGAGCAGAAAAGTTATGAGCAAATGATAGAGAATATGATAACAGAACAGAAAAAGCTCCGTGACCGTTTAGAAGTAGTGGGAGACCCCAACTACAGCCTCTCGTTACGTAAATAAAATCATTGATACAAAAGATCATATCCAAACCCTTGAGGAGAGTGAGAGAAAACAGCTAAATGATAAGTTCCTTAAGAATAAAGATGCTGAACGAGTTATTAATAATGGCCAGAGTGATGCCATGAGAGCTACTCAAGATGGTGCCAAGGAATTAACTTACCTGACAGATCACCTCCAGAAGATAGAGAAATAAAATTACAAAGCAGGAAAATATGAAAGAAGATGCTTATCAACGGTATCAGCTAGCAAAGCATAAGCTCGAAAATCTAGAGCAAAATGCTGCAAAGGATCTCAATCTTGATGAAGTCTATGGTCTTACATCCACAGAGCCTGAGATTGATGTTCATAATGATCCTAAAAATTATGAGAGGAAGAAGCTAGTGATCCAGCAAGCTATGAAGACCACCCAGGCCAAGTACCAAACAAAGCTAGCTGAGTTGAAAGAAAAATATGAAGAACTTCTTAACAGCAGAAATGATTGAATAGAAGGTATTAGACTCAGACAAGACCAAACTATTGAAGCTCGAGAGAAAGCTAAGGATTTAATGATAAAATCAAAAATTATGTCGGAAGATTCTCTTGTTCAAGACACTAAGCATGATGAGACCTTAAATGACCTCCCAGATTTATGAATTGTAGAAGAAAATCCAATGATAATGAAACTTAATCAAGCCTTAAAAGGAAGTAAAAAGCGTCATAAGCTGAACAAATCTGTTGCTTCAGCTATTGGGGTAAGACAAAGTGCTAATAAGCCTTCCAGAGGAGGAGCTGTAACAAAACGTGCGAACAAATTTTCCTTAAGAAAGAAAGCCAATATGCCAGATTTCGATAAAAATCCTATCAGCAGTTCACAGAACCAATTTGATATCTCAAAAACCAAGAGAAATGATGATGAAATGTCTCTCGATAATAGCTCTGAGAAGAAGCCATTATATAGAAATAGGATGAATGCTAAAGCTTTCTAATAACCAAGAGAATATTTCAAATTGTGTTCTCCAAACAGGGGTTTTGGGGTTTTGGGGTTTTGGGGTTTGGTGTTGGGGTTTTGGGGTTTTGGGGTTTTGGGG